TGGCTGCCCCGAGCTCCGCATCCCAACCTGGAACCTACGCTGGGGCAGTGAGTCACTGCCCCACCCAAGGGAGTGCTCTACATGGCTGCTCCACGGGACGTGCCCAATACACTGAAACTTACACGGTGTGCCACAATTAACTGACCCCTTGCAACATGGCCATCACTCCCTGCAACAAACATTGTTTTCCGGACCTGCTATGAAACCGCATGGACTCTGTGGGGGTAGGCGAGGGTGGGATGTTTCAAGAGAACAGCATCGAAACATGTATATTATCTAGGGTGAAACAGATCACCAGCCCAGGTTGGATGCATGAGACAAGTGCTCGGACCTGGTGCACTGGGAAGACCCAGAGGGATCGGGTGGAGAGGGAGGTTGGAGGGGGGATCGGGATGGGAATACATGTATATCCATGGCTGATTCATGTCAATGTATGACAAAAACCACTACAATATTGTAAAGTAATTAGCCTCCAACTAAGAAAAAAAAAAAGAAAAAAAAAAAAAGAAAGAAACCGCATGGTGCCAAATAGATAATCACAAGCCCCTGGGGTCTTGTCACGTATGTAAATGGGAAACTGACCCAAGTAACTGAATGGACCCTTCCTTCTAACAAGCAAATCCTCTTTGAGAAAGAACCTTCTTGTCTTTTGGCTCATCTTATACTCTCAGGACCTAGAGAGGGGAGAGGAGGTGAAACCCTTCTTCTATGGGTCAGGTACCATCCTAGGCTCTGAGATCCCTTATACCAGAGCTGAGCCTCTCTGGGCTTTAGTTTTCTTTTCCTTTAAGTGAGAATAATATCTACCTCATAGAGCTGTGATGATTCAATCCCTAACCCAGCTTGATCTTAGCATAGCAGATAATAGACACTTGTCAAAGTTTTGTTGATTGGCTCAAAGCAGGATCAAGAGATAGTGTGTATGAAAATGCTTTGTAAATGTCAATGTTAGGCACCCACAGGGAGTGTTATCTTCTTTCAGGGTTTCTCCCCCTTTTCTACCTGGGCCTCCCCAGACCTTGCTCAGCGCTCAACTCCAGGTACCATCAACCCATCAAGTGAGTATTTACTGTATCCCCATTATGAAGCCAGCACTTGAGTGCTGTGGGTTTATGTAGAGGCAGAGAAGGCATGGTCTGGGCCCTCAAGAATCTTTTGGGTCAACTAGACGTGCACACAGGAGAGTCAAGATAAAACGTGCAAGTAGGTACTCAGTTGGGTGACGTAGATGTAATAGTTGGTCAAAAGTGTAGGAGGTCAGGGGCAGGGGAGAGCTCAGAGGAATCAAATAGCATGAGCAAAGCAGCTTGCTAGTGTCCTTCCTTTCTGAAGTGTCCATGCTTATTCCTTCTTGGTACTAATTCTGGGTGCTTGGGCACAGTGGGATCCAGGGAAAGTACCCTGGGATAAAGAGACCCAAACTCTAGTCCTGAGCTTGCCACTTTTGATCAGTGTAACCCTGAGGAAGTCCGTAACTAATGCAAGCCTTGGTGTCCTCATCAGTGTCTTGGGGCCATAACATCTTTCCCACAGGTTTTTGGCAAACATTGATATAACATATGTGAAATGCTTTTTTAAAGTCCTTTACTTCTTTTTCATTGGATCTATTCTCCTGTAGGGTCTTGGGTGTTTTTGCATAGCACTTTGAGACTGGGATAGAATTCTTTTGGTAAAACAAAGGTTTCATTTTCACAAACACTTTATTAGTATCCACATTGCACTCTGCTGAGGATTGAGATGAAAAAATTCAGTCCACATCCTCAAGGACCTCATGGTCTACTAGGAAAGAGTATATAGGAAAGTGAATAAAGAGATGTTCAGCGCATAATGAATGTGGGTGGGTACAATGAAGAGGGGGCCTAGTGGAGTGCGTGCGTTTGTGTGTGCGCGCGTGTGTGTGTGCGTGCATGTGTGTGTGCGTGTGTGTGTGTGTGTGTTGTGGGGTGGGGAGGTCTAGGCAACTCCCACTGCTTCCAATCACTGTAGATAGGCAGGTAGGCTTGTCAAACCTCTCCCCAGCCTGAGATGTTAGCACGTCTCCTCCCCAGTCCTTGGGAATGGGGTGGAGGGAGGGATAGAAGCCCCCCCCCGCCCCCCCCCGCCCCCCCCCCCCCCCCGCCCCGGCCAACCAGCCTCCCACTAGCCGGCCGGGCGCCTTACCGAGTCAGACCACTGGGAGGCTGGGGGAGCCGGGTTGGGCGAGGAGGCGAGCGAGATGGGGGAGCTCTTATTTTGACAGGGGCCTCTCCGGGCTCTGGTATGAAGGCAGAAGGAGGCAGCCAGAGAGCCCCGATGCTTATTCAGGCTGGGGAGCGGAGCCGAGTGGAGGGGCGAGCGAGGCTCCGGCAGCGCAGGGGAGCCCGGGAAGGCGGCGGCGAGCGGCGGAGCCAGTGGCCGGACATGCCCCGGACTCGGGGCCGCTGCACCACCGCCGCCGCCCGGAGCCAGCCGGCCGGACGCCCGCACGCCTGGGTCCCCCGGCGCCGCGCCGCCCGGGGGCTGCGACCCGGACCCTCCGCGTCCGACCAACAATAAGCGCCCAGACAGACCCCTCCCCGCCCCGCGCCCGCCTTCCCCGCGGGCCTCGGGGAAAGTGAAAGGAGGAGGCGAAGGAAGGAAGGAAGGAAGGAAGGGAGGAGGAGCAGGAGCCGGAGCCGTGAGGTTGGGGCCGAGACCCCAGCCCCGAGCCCCGAGCCGGGCGGGTGTGCGCGCTCTCCAGCCGCTGCCCGGCGCCCACGACCATGCTCCGCGGTTGGGAGGCAGGAACCCAGGCTCCCAGCGACCCCCGGATACCCACTCCCGAGCCGGGCTGGTATTGAGATCAAGGCGTCCAGGATCAAAAGATCACCACCTGCCCGCCTTCCTCCGCACCTCCAACTGGCGAGGAGGAGGACCCCAATCCACCCACCGACCCTGACCTGGTCATGGCGTCCAACTCCGGCCTGGCGTGAGGACCCCCGACCCGCGCGAGGTGAGGGGTGGGCTGGGATCGAGGTGGAAAAGTCATGTCAGGCCAGCTGAGGCGCGAGGAGGGAGATCCAGTTCGAACTGGGGCGGGGGGACACAGTTTGATTGTCTCTGGCCCTCTGGCACGCGCCCTCAGGCTGTATAAGGGGTGGGAGACGCCCCCAGGGTTAGCGGAGGCTACTCTTGGGTCCCCAGTCAGGTTGGCAGCCCCAGAGCACAGTGGGGAGGGCTTAGGGGCAGCCAGGGGACCCTGCCACCCAAGCGCAGAGAACAAGGCCGGCCTTGGGCCAGCTGGAGCAGCAACCCTGCCCTGGGGGCTTCTGGGAGATGTAGTCCCCCTCCCAGGCTCACCAACCCCTTGGGTCTCAGCCCCCAGCACTCCTCTCCTGGCTGATAGGAGCCTCCGGAAGGAGGTGCACTGGGATTGGAGATTGCTGGGGGTCCCCCTCTGCCCCCAAGCACTGTCTAGGAGCAGCAGGGGCTGTGACTAGAGAAGTCTCCCCAAGACTCTTAGTGGTGTGGGCTTGGTTGGGGGGGTGGGGCAGTCACACAGTTCCTTGGAGGTGTCTCTGCATACGCTCAGAGGGGATGGCCCCTGCCTTGGTCTCGAGAGCTCTTGGGAGAGTAACATGATGAAGAGAAGGAAGGCTTAGGGCTTCTTGCTTGGCTGGAGTATGCCCTGTCCCAGGGCTGTTGGAATTTGGTTTCGGGGGACACTGAGGTCCTCTTGGGAGCTGAGAGAGAGGGTGTCCCTGACAGTCAGGGATTTCGGAAGGTGTCTCTCTGGAGCAGGGAAGCCAGGATCAGCTTCTGTCTGTCTGTCCAGCTTCCTTCCTTCCGGGTTTTTCTGACACCCCCTCCTCCCTCCTCCTTCTGTCTGTCTGCTGCTTGGGGTGTGGGTCTGTGTCTGTGTCTACGGGGGCCTCTGATGCAGGGAGGAAAGTGTTATTCTGGGAGAGGTGAGCTGGGCATGTGATTGAGCCCTGGGAAAGGGGCTTGGAGGCCCCCTTGATCTTTGGCCTTGGTTTCCTGTTTTACCTAGGAAAGCTGTCTTCACACAGTGTCTGCTGTAACCCTGCTGATGCCTCTGGAGGAGGGCAACTCTCTGAATGAGACCTGCAGGGTGGGTGGGCTTCCGCTCCCCTTGCTCTTCCCCCGTCTTCAGCCTCTCCAAGGATCAGCCACTTCTGGGCTGGGGCTGCCTGGCTTGTCTGCTGCCTCCACAGCACTGGCTTGGCTGCCTTCTCTAGGTCAGGACCGTGATTTCATGGCCCCAGGGGAAGAGCATGTTCAGGCCCTGTCTTTCTGGTATCAGCTCTGAGGCGCCTGCTGATAGAAGCCTCAGGACAGAGTGAGAATGGGAGAGAAAGGTAAGGGGCAGGGAGGTCTGGTATCAGGACGGAAGGTGCTGCCTTCCCTCAGCTGATCAGGTTCCTTGGCCTTAGAGCACCAGGCCTGGGAGATCAGCCTTCTGGCCAGTTCCCTCTGGAGGTTCTTTGCTAACCTGTGTTGCTGCAGATTGGGGTGGGGCAGGGGTTAATGTTGGGGAGAATTCTCTCCTGAAGGGGAGACTATATATAGTCTTGGATACAGAGTAACTCCTGTGGTTGGGCTAGCAGGGCTCTCATGCTGGACACAGCTTCTGGAGGGCCATATGGAGACTCAGGGTGAGTCTCCAGGTACTGAGGTTGAGGGTCCAGGTGGGAAGAGATGACAGAGTCCCGGAGAGGGGCTAGTGTTTGTGATCACAACAGTGATGATGTGGGACCTAGTGAACTTGCTTTTTGAGTCTGTGTTGGGCACTTATGCTTTCTCTGGATAGTTTCTGCCTCCCAACTTCTGGGTACATGAGTTAAACAGGAGCCCTGGGCTGGGGACTCAACTTCCATGAACAGGCAGGGCAATAGCCTTCTGGGCACAGGCCTAGTGGGTGGCAGTGTCGACTCAGCAAGGGCTGGAATGCCTGGCACCTGCTTTAGATTAAAGGAGATGCCTGCAAAGGGGGCTGCCTGCCTGCAGGGGGAGGGGCTGGGATGGAGCTCCGTGGAGCCCAGGAGTGGGGTGGAAGGAAAGGACCAGGGTTGCAGACAGCTCTGGCAGGAGTGGAGGGAGCCACCAAGAACAGCAGCCCCACCTCCAGGGAGTCCAAGGCGGGAACTGGGGGCTCTCCGCAAGGCCTCTGGCGCCACAGGCTGCCACTCTGTCCCAGTGCCCTGGGCGGGCAGCTGCGGGGAGCCAGGGTGTCTGGGTTTCCAGTCTGCCCAGGACTGGAAGAGGCCTCCAAGGAGGTGGGGGGTGCTTGGGGGTTCTCCTTGGCCTGATGCCACGTTGACTCTTCTGGGGACTCCTGGGTTGCTGGTAGTGAGGCACCCTGAGAGCTTGGGCACCCAGGGGTGCTGGAAAACAGCACCCTTTCCTGGTGCCAGGAGTCCTGGACTCTGCTAGGTTGCTGACTTGGGGGGGAGGGGGCAGAGGGGATGACACCGTGGGAAAGTGGGCAGCCGTGGGAGCCAAGCGGGCACAGGCTGGGTGCCGCGGGCAGGGAGCCTCTGCCAGGCCTTCTCTCCCCAGGGTGGGGCTGGTTGTTCCAGGGACTGGCTCAACCTGTTGAGCGCCTGGCTGCTCTAACCTGGCATCTGTGTCCCTACCTGCCAGCCCCGCCAGCTGCCCACCCGCAGCCACACTGCGGGGGCTGCCCCCCACGGGTCTGTTGCCAGAAGGCTCTGACAGGCCGAAGGGCCAGTCGAGGCTCCTCCAGAGGCTCCTGCAGAGGCTCTTCCAGGGTGTGCCAAACTTCCCCAGGTCTTACCCTCTAACTCCCAGTTGGAGGGCCAGGTAGCCAGAGCTAGGAGCGAAGGGGTGAGGTGAAGAAAGCCACAGTGCTGGATCCACTGCCGGTCACTCGGGCCGCCCTGAAGGCAGCCTGGAGTTACCGCCTGGAATTTCCTCCTCTGGGTGCCAGGGCCGGGCCTCCAGAGCCCCACCCCCAGCCTGGCCTGACCTCCCCTCCCTGGGAGAGACTTTCCCTGGGGGTTGGGGGAGGGGCAGTAAGGACATTCTGGTGCCCTGGGAGGAGAGGGGTGACTTCCTGGGTGTGGGGGTCTGTAGTGCTGCCTCAGCCTCCTAAGTAAGGGCTGGCCCTCCCCATGGAGAGGGGAGACGCTCCGGGTTCCCTGGGAGATGTCCCCTACCCTGCCCAGAGTGTGTGTGTTGGGGGGGGGGGTGGCCCTGGGTCCCAAGGAGGGTCCCTGACCCGCCGCAGACCCTTGCTGTCCTCCCACACCCTCTGCCCGGTAGCTTGAGGCCTGCCTCCTGGCTCTGCTAGCCAGCAGCCAAGGGGAACCAGCTGCCACTCCGCCGGGGAGAAGGTGGCCACCACCGCGCCCCCAGGTAGAGGGGGAGGGCCCAGGCAGTTTCCCCGCTGCCTTCTGACTTCTCCAGGCAGTGGCTGGAGCAGAGGCCTCCCCTTCTCCGCCTCCTTTCCACCCTGGGCCCTCCCAGCTGGGCCCTGGCCACCTGCCCCTCCTAACCTTGGTGTCTGGCCGAGTCCCCATCCCCGGGGGCTGGGATGCCCTCTGTCCAAGTCCTTCCTCCCACAGGCTGGTGGCCCTGTGCTGGCCTGTCTTCCCCTCCTTCTCCCCTCCCCCCACTCCCAGCCTCAACTGAGAATGGCCCTGAATCCAGCATTTCCAGCATTTCGAAACCAGGATTGTTTTGAAATCCCTGAGCACTTCTCCACCCTCCTCTGACTCCCCTCCTCCCCACTAGCCCAGAATTTAGTGCTCTAATCTGGCTTCATGCTGTGCATTGCCTGGGTGTGTGTGTGTGTGAGAGAGAGAGAGAGAGAGAGTTTGTGCTAGCACATGGCCATGTGCATACTACTCAGCGTGTGTGTATCCCAACGTGGGTCTACCTTCTGTCAGCAGTTCTGTGTGACCGGCCGACGTCATTTGTGTTTCCTGGGCCCCCTTGGGCTTTCTCTATGAGTGTGGGCACCTCTGTGTGTCTGAAGGAGTCAGTTTTGGAGAGTTTGTGTTATTTTAAAGAGGTATCTTGGTTGTGTGTGTTTGGGGGTTGCGTCTGTTTCTCTCCCAGGTACACATGTCAGAGTGTCTGTGGAGTGTATGTGCCCGGGGTTGTGTCTTTGATACACGTGTGTGTGTGTGTGCACAGGCACACACTCAGTGTGCTCTGTTCCCGCCTCTATCCTCCTCCCTCGGAACACGTCTGGGGGTGTAGCCACAGGTCTCCCCACAGCTCCCTGGGACATGAAGTCCTCTGTCCTTTGAAAGGGAGGTTTTCTGGAGGGAGGCCAAGGCTTCTGGCAGTTCTGTGGTCCTTGGAGAGAAAGTGTGCAGTGGGGAGACTTTGGGATAAACTGTCCCCAGAGCTGGACTCTCCTCCTCTGCCCTCCCCAGCCACCCGGCATCTCAAGGGGTCTGATGCTCCCAGTCCACCCTCTTCTTGTCCTGGTGCTATCAGAGGGATTGTGACAGGGAGGCCCAGTGCTCTCCAGAAAGGGATGGGGGAAGGGACTTAACCCCCCCACCCCCGCCCTTGGGGTAGCTTGCTTCATTGGAGACAAGAAACAGCCAGCCTCACCAGACCTGGGAGCTTTCAGAAAAGTTGACTTTGCTAGTTAGGGGCAGACAGCAAAACAAAACAAGACACTCATGTTTCCAGCCTGAGCAGAAGACAGAGGGGTCTGGTTTCTTGGGGGGTTATACCACCCCAGAAATATGAAGCATTGGGTATGGGGCCAGCTGCCATTGTAGCCTTGACCCTGAGAAGTCCTTCTTGTTCTACAGTCCTTTATCTTGTTCTACAGGATGAGAGGTTGTTAGGGGGAGCTTTCTTTCTTTCTTTCTTTTTTGTGCCAAAGCTAAAATTGTGATGGTCATGTTTGCACGGGATATAGGCACTTGGAACCCTGATGCCTTGCTATGACTCAGTTTCCCATCCTGGGACCCCAGGCTATAATTGACTACTTTCTTCTAGAAGCACTTGTAGCAAGTCAGTGAAGAGGAAGAGGGCTGGGGCAGGGGCTGGTTGTCGGAGTCTAGGGCCTTTGGAGACAGCAGCAGAGGTGAGCAGAGAGAGAAGCTGTCTCCTTCTAACCCCCCTTCCCATGGCCTCTGGGAGGAGGGGAGGGGTAAGGGCACACGTTGGTACAGTGCTCAGTGACCCAGCAGGGGGAGGGCCTTGGCAAGGAATCTTCAGTTTGTTTCTCAATCTCTGTCTCTGAGACCTGTATGCCCGTCACTGCAGACACCTTCAGGAGATGAGCCCAGAAAAGTCACCCAGGTGATGGTAGGACAGGGTGGTACCAGATGGGGACAGGTGGTCCCATGTTCTGGCAGGCACGCTACGCTAGCCCCCCTAGAATGGGAAGCTGGGCCCAGCAGGAGGTCCCCTCCCCAATCCCCCTGTCCTGGCCTGGGCACACCACAGGCTGGAGAGGGTTAAGTCTGGTTGGCAGGGACAGCGCCCCCCCCCCCCCACCATTGCAGTGAGAGAGGGAGGGAGGGGTAGTTAGCAGCTTGCTCTAGTTGGCTTCTGTCCCAGAATTCTTCGGAAAAGAACTCCCCTTTGACCCCCAGTACAAACTGAGCCGAGCCACCAGCCTCCCTCCCGCCTGCCTGCCTGTGGGAGCTTCACCCAGCCCCCTCCTGCTGAACTGCTAAGCCCAATTCTCTCCCTCCAGGCCCTCCCAGCTAGGCCCGGTCCCCAGGACTGGAGTCTTCCAGGGACAAGGGAGGCCACACAGGGACAGAGGACCCACGCCATTCTTTTCCCTGACACAGGATAACCCCGGGGTGGCGGGTGCTGGAAGCTGGGGTCCTCAGGCCTCCTCTCATCCATCCCTCACACCCAAGTCCTCAGGCCAGGACGAGGGAGTCCTGCCCACCCCACCCCCGACCCTGGGGCTGAGCCCTAAGGCATCTCCAGGGCCTGCTCCTTTCCTGCTTCCAGGGGAGGGAGGGGGAGCCGTGCGGTGGGGCGGCTGGGTCAGGCCTGGCTCCCGGCCAATCCACAGAAGCCGTGGAGGGGGGGTGGTGTCCGAGTAGCTCCGGGACTTCCTGGAGCTACAAGCCCGTCTGTGTACATGCTTAGCGGTGTGCGTGCGGGGGGTGGGGCTGGGGTTCTGGGAGGAGCAGGGGTAGAGATTGCTGGCCCGGGGCTTCGAGCTGTGACCCTCTCTCCACAGGGAGCCCCAGCCCCGATCACACCCTTGAGCCCGAGCCCGACACGCGTTATCCCGAGGTGAGAGGTCTGTGTGCTTGTGTGTGTCCTCACACCCTCCGCGCTCAGCTCTGCCTGCCTCTGCCGGAGCCTCCTGCTTGGCTTTTTGTCTTGAGCGCCCTCCTCCTGGCTCTCTGCCCCTACTTCTCCTTTCATTCTCCTCCCCCAGAGGAGGGGGTGCTGACAGCTTACAACCTGGGACCCAGTGGGGATGGGGGCGGGGCCCGGGCAGGAAGGGTTAAAGCGCCGAAGCCGCAGTTGCAGTGAAAGTCCCAGCTGGGGTAGGTGGTGGGGAGCTCCAGTCCAGTCACCCCTGGAGAGCAAGGTACGGTTTCCTTCCTGGTCATCCCAAGTGCCTGCTACCCCTTGCCTGCTGGCTTTAGCCTGAGCTGGCTGAGTCAAAGCCAGGGTGGCCACCAGCCACGGTAATGTGGTTTCTGCCCTGGCTCCTAGACACACACACACACATGCACGCACGCGCGCACGCACGCATGCACGCAGGCACACGCACACTTTCTCCCTATTGCCACCCCACCCCCTCCTTCCCTCGTCCCTCCCTCCCCTTCTTTCTTACTTAGCAACAACTCCCTGAATTCACAACAAACACGCCTGTAGGATCCCAGACTAGGGAAAGCTGGAGAAAGTACCGGACTGGGAGGAGGCCCTTCTAGACTGTCCTCAGGAGGGAAGGGCTTCGAATCCCCCCACCCTCCCTGCTGGAGGCAACCACCCCCCAGGGGCTGGGAGGAAAGTGGTCCTGCTTCCAATCAGGCAATGAAAACACTGGGGGGCAGCAGCCAGGTGTGGCCGAGCAGGTGGGGGGCAGGGCTGAGACTCCACCCATCACTAGTGGAGTCCCACTTGACCTTTGACCCCCACCTGCAAAGTGGGAGGGGCCACAGACGACTCAGCCTCTGGGCCTCTCAGCAGGGGCCTGTGCTATTGTCATGGTAACTTGCTGGGCTCCTTCCCCAGACTCTTAGGGACCAGGATGGGTGACGGGTGACAGGTTGGGGGTGGGCGGGGCTGGGGTGGCCCAAGAACTTTACTCTCAGAGCCCCAGCAGGCCAGGCACCTGGGTTGAGGGGGCGGGGAGTTGTGGCCTCCCTTTGATCTCGTCCCTGAGTAGGAACTGTGGCCTCTGGCTAGGACCTGCTGCGCTTCAGGTTTGGAGGGAGTCTGGAATGAGGGAGTGAGGCACCAGGGCGAACCTGTATTGTGAAATGGTTAAGAGCAAATGGCTGGAGTATCTGGGTGCAAATCCTGACTCTTCTAAGTTTGGACTGTCTGCCTTAGGCAAGTCATTCAATGTCCCTGTGCCTCGGTTTTCTTCTCTGTAAAGTGGGGATTAGAGACTTTTCTTGTAGAGTACTAAATTAGGGAATTAAATTAGATAATGGCTGTGATTAGCAGCTTGATGTTACAGAGTAAATGCTCAATAAATATTAGAGATTTTCCTAATTATTATTAGTCATAGGAACTCCTGATCCTCCCAGAGGCTTTAGCAGGGAGAGATAGGGGTGGAGAAGAAACAGCCTTTCCAGTGCTTGAGATTCCTAGATTCTAATAGCCTTCCAGACCCACCTTCTTGCTGCTTCAGTTTCCCCACTGCTGGTGCTAGCAGGCATTATGATTGCAAGTTTGGGAAATAGCTGTGGGCCTGGAGAAGGGTCTGAGGGCTTAGGGCCTGCCTGCCTCCCCATCGCCCAGCACTTCCCAGGGCTGAGCCCCTCCGCCCCCAGGCTATTAGCTCAGATCAGCTTCAACACCCCTCCCACCATCCCATCTCCTGCTGCTCTGTTCCTTTACCAGGCTGAAGAGCCCTTAAGACACACTCCTTCAGTGGCTTTAATGGCTGCCTCCTCTCTTTCCTGGCCTGAGGGGTCCGGGAACTTCCTTGGGGAGAAGAGTAGAGGTGAGGAGCTGTGACATGGCTGGCAGCTGTCAGGCCTGCCTTGGGCCCCAGGGGATTTTCCCTGAGTGTGGCGGGGCAATGCCAAGGTCTCTGATATGTGTAGAAGCCCAGATGGGCAGGCCCAGCACCTGCTGCACACAGATGGGCAGGAAGTCCATCCTGAAGCCCAGGGGAGAGGTGGGGTCATATCGGCATCCAGAGGACAACCCCAGAACCCTTTCCTTTGCTACCCATGCATGGGTAGCCCACATGGGTACATGTGGGCAAGGCTGGGAAACGTTCTGTTTCAACCCTGTGTGCCCTGGGGCAGGCCAGGGGAGAATGCTGAGTGACTCTGGGTGAGCAAGGCTCCCAAAGGCCCTGGGATGAGAGTGGGATGATGGAGGGGCTAAGGCTTGGGAACTTCTGGGTGAGGATCCCAGGACAGGGTAGCAGGCATGCCCACCAGGAGGGAAGCTCTGCAGACACGTGGTTTGGTCTTCTCGGGAGTAAAAGTGATCAGATGTGGCAGAGTGCCTGGGATTCCAGGACTCCTGGGGATCTTCTCTGGCCTGGTACCAAGGTGGGTGGGCTGGAGCCCCTGGCTCTACTCACCACTTCTTTTTGGGAACAGAGGAATCTCTTCCCTTCCATGGGCCTGGGAGTGAGGCATCAGTGTTGGCCTGAGCCATGCCTGACTGCTGGGCCGGCCATGCCGCCTTTGCCCAGCCCCTGGGGCCTGTTCCTTGGGCAGGCTGGGGCTATTTTTGGGATCGGGCTGGGGCTCTGGGGCTGGTTTCAGATGTTCCAATGTGAACAGGAGAAAATGGGAACAGATGGCTGGAGGGTTCCAATCAGTGGGTCCTGCTGGGAGCAGGTTATTTTTAGGGCCTTGTTAACCCTTTGAGGGCTGTGGAGCCACCCCAAGAGGGACAGCCCTCTTTAGCTGAGAAGAGGATAGGTCTTCTCTCTGGATCTCTACTTTCAGAACTGTGTGTCCCAGTTGCTCTTCTTACCTTCTCAGACCCTCCACTCTTTAAAGAGGCCCATGGTAACAAAGTAGGCTCCTGCTTCCTCCAAGCCTAGACCCTGAAGGGAGACTGCCAAGGGGTTGGGGTGGCTGATGGAGAGGATGTGGCCACTGTTGGAAGGAAACTCCCCTTTGCTTTTCTCCTGGGGTTCTGAGACAGCCCTGAGGGTAAGAGAGTGGATAACTGCTCTCTGGATTCAGGCTCTGGGTTTGAATGTTAATAAACCCAGTGAGGCCCAGAGGAGTCCTCGCCTGAGGGACCTGGCCTCTGTGAGGACAGAGGAGGAGCCAAGTTTTTGTACTTGTTACCACTGAGATGATGCCTGTGGGCCCGATGTCTTGAAAGTCACTCCATCATGTCTGACTCTTTGTGACCCTATCGACTACAGCCTGCCAGGCTCCTCTGTCCATGGAGTTCTCCAGGCAAGAATACCGGAGTGGGTAATCATTCCTTTCTGCAGGGGATCATCCCAACCCAAGGATCGAACCCAGGTCTCCTGCATTGCAGGCAGATCCTTTATCGACTGAGCCATCAAGAGCAAATCTCTCGACAGTGCCCATCTTTACTAAATGCCCATGGATTTGGGTGCTATGTAGTGGGTAAATAAGGAGGCATCATGGCCCGAGGTGGTTTGTTGAGGGCTTATGGCACAGGCATTCTGTTGGCTAGTTTCGCTATTAGCATCTCACTTGATACATTGATCCTCATTCTGCAGATGAGGAAACTGAGGCTCTAAGGGCTGAAGGGATGGATAAAGTCCTGTCATTCAGAGCGGGTGGGATGTGATTGGCAACCTTGTCAGCCTGACTGCAAACCCACCTCTCATTCCACTGCATCACTCACTGCCCGCCGTGTCGTGGCCCCAGAGGGCAGCAAGGCTGCCAGGGCTAGGCCTCCTCAGGGAGCAGGTCTGAAATGAGCCTAGGGACTGAGGCCTGGGGGCAGGGGGCCCTGCCTGTCACCACTCTCACAATCCCCTAAGCCCTTCTGGTCTGAGGGTGCCAGGACTGACACCAGAAACCCCATGTGGCCTTCCTGTCTTCCCTGCAGGAGGATCACAGGCATACATCCTGTCTCGTCAGCCCCCACCCCACCCCGTCTTGGTGCACATGCCCCTGCTTCCTGTAGGGTCATGGCAGTCTGGATGGCAACGTGGGCAGGGCTGGAGGGCCCTCCAGGTGCTGCCGGTGCCAGGAGTCTGGGCCTGGCCGGCGAGGTGAGGGCTGGGAGGATGTCTCTGTCGCCGGCAGCACCTGGGGGAGAAAGCCAGCGGGCAGGCGGGCTCTGGGTGAGGGCCCGCCCCTGGTGTGCTGCCTGTGCCAGCAGTCTGCCCGCACTCCGCAACTCCCACAATGGCCCCATTGTTCCCAGCCGCCAGGCAGTTTGGAGGAGGTTCCTGGGCCACCCCTAATCCCCCTCTCCAAAAAAGGGTCCGATTAACCCCTTGGAGGATAGAGGCCAGGTGAGGGTCCCCAGGGAGCTACCCTGCCCATTCGTCTCTTCTGGGGATCCGGGCTGGGGACACCACCTCCTACCACGTGTCTGCAGCAACAGGGCACCTGGAGAGCCTGGGGTCCCCCACAGGGGAGGGAGTAGCCCCTAGACCCTCTCCCACCCCCACAGTGGTGCAGGTGCCAGGGGGCAGGAAGTGCCAGAGGGGTGGCAGGCGGAGACCAGATATATTTGGGCCGGTGGGGCTAATTCCAGCCACCACCTCCTGCCCTACTGGCTCCTGAGCGCCTTTCCTTCCTGTGAAACCAGAGCTGGGTTGGGCCTAGCTCAGGATTTCGGTGGATTTAAAGAGGCAGCACCCTCCCTGGCAGCCCGGCTTCCTCTCCCCCTCCCCAGGTGGGGTCTGGGGCAGAGAGAAGGCTGGAGAGCCTCTGCCCCTCCCTTGCCCCGGGCTAACCCCTGGCCCTTGCCCCTGCTGGGGTACCAGGCTTTTGGCACTCCTTTCTCCCAGAGCTTTGAGCGGGTGGGGTGGGCGGGGGTGGGCTGTGGTTTCCTGTGTTGGCTGTTTGTGCCTGGCCCAGAGTGCCCGCCGCCTGCCTGGGCTTCCTGCCCTGTCTTGTTTCCTTGTGCCCCCCACCTCCTCCCCCGCCTCCCCCCTGGGGGGAGGGAGCAGCCAGGGATTGGGCAGTAGCCTTTGGGGGCACCCCACTGCCAGGCTATGACTGCTTCTTGAGGCCTGACCACAGTGGCCCTGGCTACGGGAGCCAAGTGAGGCGACCTCCAGCTTGTCTAGGCAATGCTACTTAGCCTGGTGGTCCCCACAAGGGCAGAATCCACCCCTCACCCCTGAAGCACCCTTCAAAGACCCCAGGCTGGAGGGTCTGGGGCCAGGAATTTCCATGTCCCAGCAGGGCTGGGGTTGCCAGACATCACCTTGGGGCTTCAGGTGGGGTGGGGCTGGAAACTCCCAGACAAAAATGGTTGATTTGCATGGTCTCCTTTGGCAGGAGGTGGGGGGAAGTGGGGAGAACTGCTAGGAACCAGGTTGAGGGGAAGGCCCCCCCAACCCTGGAAGTCCCCACACAGAGGGTCCCCAGCAACACCTTGGTTCTTGAGCAGATTTCCTGCTGGGCTAGGAATCCTTGACCTCCCCACCCCGCTGAGTCACCACCTCAGGAAGAGGAAGTGACCTGGGTGATAGAGGAGAGCTTCTAGGGACCCTGGAGAAAGGGGACTCAGGACCTCGTTGTCTTGGGGGCTGCCTCTCCCTAGGCCAGTGGCCAAGGATCCCACCCCTAATACTCCCAGCAGGTCTCTGTTCTTTCAGCCACACAGGGTTCCTAGCCGCCCATTTCCTCTCTAGAGGCGTCTGCCCACTGCCTGCGGAAGCGTGGACCCTCCAAGCAGTGTTCTCAGTGCCTCTTTGGGGTGGTTTGGAGCTGGGCTTTGAGACTGGTGTGCTGGTAGGCAAATCAAGCAGAGGCTCCCAAGGTGGGAGCCGCTGAACAGAGGTAAGTGGCCACTGCTGTGTGCTATACCTGTGGCAGTTCTGTGTTGAGCAGGGAGCTGGCCTGTCCCACCTGGAGGTCCTGGGCATCCATCAAAGCCTTCCTGGTCTCCCTCCCCCAGCTGAGGTCAGGTCCACTTTGACCCTTAGGTCACTGCTCCCTGCCCCCAGCCTGTCCCCCCACGTTGCACCAGGAGGGCAAGATCTCAGGCAGGCTTTGTCTCCGCAGCCTCCTGGGCTCCATTCTCATGGGTCTGCTCCTGGCTCTTCACACAGGTGACTGGCACCTGCTCCCTGTTTGTAAGCATGTCACTGCTCCCCACCCCACCCCACCCCCTAAGAGGAGCCCAGGTCTGTGTTCGCAGAGCTGCATCCCTTTCACCCCCCTCAGGGGCTCCTGGCCTGGTGCCAAGAAGCCCCCCTCACTTTGTTCCTGCCTCCATCCCCAGGGCTTTCCAGGTCTCTTCCGGGGACTCTAAGTACATAGAGCAGGAGGGTCTCTGTGATCTGGGGCGGGCTGCTGAGGGGCAAAAGGGGGAGGTGTGAGATGGGAAAGTCCTGACTCATCTGTACTTGACTCAGCTCGTCCTGCTGGGTGGGAGCGAGGGGGTGGAGTCCTAGAGGGGAGGGCAACTCAAAGATTCTTCTGGAGAGGAGCCTTGGCCCCACTGGGTACCCTGGAGAGAATGAATTTTCTAACAGCCCCTTCCCAAATTACTAAATGCCCCAATATTTGAAGCTGTAAACAGAGGAAAGTAAAGTGGGTAACCTTTGCCCTACTGGAAGCCCATCTGTCTGATGCAGGCACAGACACGCCGTCATGACTGAAGGGAGGACACTGCAGTGTGGGGGAAACACCAGGGGAACAGGGTCTTGGTAGGCCCATGTAATAATGGTCATGAGACCCGGGGGCCTCTGACTTCCTTCTCCCAGATCTCAGTTTCCTCTTTGTGAAATGGGGATAGAAACACTGCCGTGGCAGGTGGTTGGTAGTTTTGAGGATCAGCGAGGTGGGGAAGGGGGAAGCCTGGGACACATGTCAGTCATGGGCCTGCCCCTAAGCCCAGGTGCCCTCCGGCTCTCTCCACCTCACCTCTCCCCCGACGTGACTGGCCTGAGGACTGGCCGCCGGCTGCTGTTCAGCCAGGCCTGGAACCGGAGCGATCTTCCGCTGAGAAGGCCAATGTGCCCTGGGGTTAAGTTAGGGTGAGACTCCCACAGGGTCCCTGGTGTCCCACAGGGCCTCCTAAGTCCCAGCCCGGCCTGCAGCAGCCCGCCAGGGAATGTGCCCCGGTGTCTGGCTGGGCCTGTCACCGGGACGGAGCTCCCGGCCCAAGGCTCCTCCCCTCCCCCACCCCTTCCTGGGATCTGCGGGAGGGGAGAGAGGGGCGGGGGGACAGGACCGGGGGCAGTCGGGTGAGGCTTCCGTGTTTGTGTAAGTCTGTTGGCTGGTGTATCTCTGGCCCCGTGTGTGTTCCTTTGTCACTACCGGGCTCAGCTCTCTATGGGTCCCATGTTGTCGGGCCTCAGTCTTTTCATCTGTCCAATGAGTCGACGCGCCCCCTCTCTGCCTTCTGGCCGCCTCTGGAAACGTGCGCCCCTGGCTATTTCTGCGCTCCTGCTTCGGCCAGCGCCTCCCTAGCCATCCCGCACACCTCCGCGGGCCGGCGTTTGAGTGCGCCTCTAGTTTCCTGGGCTCCGTGCGTGTCTTTGTTTCCCCGTCCACGTGTGAGCTGCGAGTGTGTGTGTGTGTGTGTGTGTGTGTGTGCGTGTGAGTCTAGAGTTCGGGTGCTGGTGGGTCCCCGGGGCTCCTGCCTGGCGGCGCCCGGCGCGGAGCTGAACCTGGGCCCCACCGCGGCGCGCGCCCGGCCCCTCGCCGCCCTTGGCCGTGGGTCTGTCGGGGCGGTGCGTGCGGGGCCGGGAGAGGCACACTGCAGCCCTGCCCGTGGCCCGCTCCCCGGCTCGCTGGCTCTGTCGCTCGCTCGCTCGCTCTGCCTCTGCGCTCGGGCTCTGCCGGAGGGGGCGGGGTGGGGTGCCGGGGCGGGGGGAGGGGAGGCTCCTGCATTCTTGCGGTCGGGGAGGAATCTGAGCCAGCGTTACTGGTCTCCAGAAGAGCCCAGCTGCAGCCCCGAGGCCCCGCCAGGCCTCTCGCTGCCCGCCCGGGCCTGCTGGGATGGGCACGGGCTAGGCCTCGAGCTGGGGGCGGGGCATCGCCCCCACCCCCGGCCCCCTTCCCGCCCCGGCGCCCGGGGGTAGGGCGCAGCGCTGGGGCGGGGCGCCAGGGGTTCCCCCGCCCCCTCCCCCGGGTGAGGGGCGTGCCTGGGGGCGGGAGTCCCCCTCCTCTCCCCGGGGGCCTGACAGACCTCTCAGCCGCCCCACGCGGGCACCTTGGCAACCTATCTTTTTAGTGAATTCTGCCCCTGCGGCCCCGGGGGCCTTGCTAGAGACTGCAAGCTCCCTGAGGGTAAAGTGCGGGAGGGATGGATTCAGACCCCGACCTGGAATCCTTCCCGGCCGTTCCCACCCTACCCTGTCCAGTACCCTAGTCCCAGGGCTGTTGGGTCCTCCCGTCTCCCCTCCCCTCCTCGCACCCCCTCCCCAAGTCACAAGTTTTCTCTTTGGGGCTTGTTGCTGCAGTCCCTGCTCCAGTACCGAGTACCTGGCTGGGCCCTGGGCACGCACAGGGGCCGTAGCCCCACTGTGTGTGGGAGCCATGAGGATCCTGGCTAACAAGACAAGGTGTGTGGGTGTCGTGGAGGGCGGGATGTGTGTGTGGAGTGAGGGGAAGGGATGGGCCCAGTGTTGATGGGGCTGAACCGTGCAGGCTTGGAGAGCAAGACCCCCTGGGTACCTGGCTTCCCGGCCACCGGTGAGCTAAAGGGGGGTCAGAATCGGAATGCCTGCCCCCAGGCAGGAGCCCACAGCTTTAGCGCCTGAGCCCAGGGGACAGAAGGGAATGGCAAGCCGCTAAGCTTGCAGTTCTAGTCCCTTCCAGTCCTTTCCTCTTAAAAATGGTTTGAGCAGACCTCCGCCGGCCCCGCTGTTGGGTCCGCTGGCGCCCTCTGGCCTCGGTCTAGCTAGGGGTGGGAGCTGGAGGGGCGGTGCCTGCCTCCCTCCCCTTCCCCGGGAGAAGCCGGCAGACAGGGCCAGGCGGCAGCAGCAGGACAGCAGAGCTGAAATAAATCTGAGCTGGTGTGGAATGAGGGGGGATAAATATCCTCTCCCGTGATGTGATCTTTCCAGCGGCTATTAATAGGTCTCCGGGGAGGGGGAGGCGGTGGGGGGAGCGGGCTGGAGCTTAAAGGGCCCGCAGCCTAGGCTGCTGGAATCCTTGGTTTCAGTCTGCTCCATACACCAGTCCCCTCCCCCTTTCCTCTTGCTCCTGCCTGCCGGCCAGACCTGCTGGTGCACCCTCTAAAGACATTCCCCTCCTGCCCTGGGGAGCTGTCTGGACCAGTGGGAACCACAGTCTGGTGTGCTTTCTCCCACTTCCCCAAGGGGAAATGGGGCTGGGCCAGGAGCAGTGACCCCCCAGGTCCTGGATTCCTTCCCTGCTGGTGTTGGGACACATGGAAGCTGAGGTTGGGGGGCCTTGGAAGGAGTGTGAAGACAGCAAACCCTTGAAGAGAGAATGCTTAAGAGTTGGCCAGGTGCTAGTGGAGGGGGTTGCCATGGAGGCTTGCCGTCTGATGGATGCTGGGGCTTAGGGGCCGGGTTGGATTCTGCCAACGTAAGGCCCGGGTTTTCATTTGGGGACTGGAGGGTGGAGGGGTTGCCCCATCTTCATTCCCCAAGTGGAGAAGGGCATTAGCCCTTGTCCGAGGAGCCATGGAGGGAGATAGGGGACAGCTGGTGGTCTTAAGATGCCACTCAGCTCCCACCTCCCCAACCATTAGGTGAGGCAGGATGGGGTGATGAAAATCCAGGCTTGCTACACCCCTGGACTGCGATTAACTTTTCATGTCTCTTCCACCTCCCAGGTTACCCCACCCCAGGAGGAGAGAAGCTCCAGGGAGCCCGCCGCTGTCCCCCCGCGGCCACTGCCCCCCTGCCCCAGCCAAGCCAATGCACCCAGAAAATAAGTTGACCAATCATGGCAAGACAGGGAATGGCGGGGCCCAATCTCAGCACCAGAATGTGAACCAAGGACCCACCTGCAACCTGGGCTCGAAGGGCGTGGGGGCGGGGAACCATGGGGCCAAGGCCAACCAGATCTCACCTAGCAACTCAAGTCTGAAGAACCCCCAGGCAGGGGTACCCCCTTTCAGCTCGCTCAAGGGCAAGGTGAAGAGGGAGCGGAGCGTGTCTGTGGACTCCGGCGAGCAGCGAGAGGCTGGGACCCCATCCCTGGATTCAGAGGCCAAAGGTACCCCATTTCCTGATGCCTAAGACCCCAGCATTGTCCACCATCCTAGACACACGGGCTGGGAGAGGATCTTTCTGCACCCCTGGCCTAATCCTCACTTGCCATTCCTCTCCAGCATTTATGCAGGGGCAGCCTCTTTCTCTACCACCCCCCACCCCCCACCCCGGTTATACCCACCCATCTGCTCATACTCTCAGGACTGGGTGGAGATGTTTCATCCTTAGGGCTCTATGTGTTTCATCACAGAGTGATGGGGCCTCCCGTCGGTCAGTGTCGGTCAGCCTCAGGCCTCTCCTGCTTTCCCACCAAAGCCCCCAGAGGGGAAATGGGAGGTGCTCTGGGGTGAGGCACGGACCCACACACCTCCCAGGAACCTCCTGGTGTTCCAGCTGGTGGGAGCAGGCACTGGGGCCTGGAAGAGTAGCAGCAGCTTCCCCCTCCCCCCCCCCAGCCCTAATTAGAACCAGTTGTGGTTGGGGATTACGTTGGGCTTGGTGCTGGGTGGGGGAGGGGAGACAGGCAGCCAGGCTGTACAGAGAAATCAGAAACAAATGGTGTTATGGTGGGGGCCAGGGGCTGGCAACGTGCCCACTGTGGCCTGTGGCCTGGGCACTGCCCCCTGGGCAGTGGGGCCTCTGGGGGAATGGGCTTGGGGAGGCCCCCGGGTGTGGGAGGACCGGCCCTCGCGGGTACTCGCTCACTCACCCTGACCTCTGCCTGCCTGCCTGGGCAGAGGTGGCACCCCGGAGTAAGCGGCGCTGTGTGCTGGAGCGGAAGCAGCCGTACAGCGGGGACGAATGGTGCTCAGGCCCGGACAGCGAGGAGGAGGACAAGCCCCTCGGGGCCGCCCACAGTGAGTGCCCATTGTTGCCAGGATGTGTGGCCCACGGCGTCCCCGGGGAACAGTTGCCCTGAGGGAGCCTCCCTCTCTTCACCTAGGGCTTTCGAGGGCCCAGGCTGGGCCAAAAGGAGCAAGGAATCAGGAGCCTGGGCTCCTCCCCTCCTCCCTCCCATCTCCGACTCAGTCCCTCCCGGCACCGGCAGCCCAATCCCCGCCTTCCAGGTGCTCAGCAGCCCCCTGTCCTGAGGGACCTGGGTGGGGCAGATGGAACCTTAGGTGGCCTCTCCGGCCGCACTGGCCACACCTCCTCCCTCGATTTCCTGGCCTCTGCTGCCACCTACTGGTCAGTAGAGGGAGGGCAGTGAGGGTTCAGCATCCCTGGGAGGACCCAGGGTGGACCCTGCAAAGCTGTGCTAAAGAAGCCTGGGTGTGAGCTGACATTGACTGTGTCTCTGGCGCCCTTCCCTAACCTCTAACCGACTTCTGGAGCTCATCACCAAGACGAGGAGTGGGTGTGGGTGGGCGCCCACCTCTCTCATTCTTGCACTGATCAGTGTATATTTGGGTCTTGCACAAGTGATGGGGGAGAACCAGACATACTCCTGCCGTTGGGAAGCCTGTGCTTGTTGATCTGATGCTTTTCCTCCAAGCTTGCATCTGTGTGTGGGGAGCAACAACTCAGTGCTTAAGAACTAGTCAGAGAATGTTACACTGTGAACTTTTCCAAGGCTGGGACTGTAGAAAGGAAGAAGAGAAATTATGCCGGACACTTTGTTGCTTTGTTTTATTTAATTGTGATAACAGTGCTGGGAGGTAGGTGTTATTAGGAAGCAAAAGAGGAGACAAACTCAGCAGATGTTTTTAGAAGGAGTAGATCTTGTCTGTGGAGATGGTGTTTGGGATCAGACACAGCCTGTCAGCTGGCCGGTACTTTAAACATCACCTGGTCCCAGTACCCCCGCCCCCCAGGGGACTGACTAGTGGTTCAGAAACCCTGGCCAAACCCTTCTGTGGTAGATGGGGGTAGACACTGCTTCCCAGGACAAACCCTCCTCAGTTCACTTTTACAACAACTAGGCTGTACCATCGTAGAAACATGAAGACACAAGAAATCAAAGAAGTTGCTAATATCCCATACGGAGTACCAGGGCAATCAGTTACTGTTTTAGTTATACTGATATTAGATTCTTGAAGAGTTCTTTTTAACAGTAGGGCAGAAGTTAAGAAGTTAATGTAGAAGTTAAGAGCACAGACTGTGCAATCAGACCCCCCTTGGATTATATCCTGGATCTTCTACTTATCATTTGTATAAGGTTGGAAAAGGGCCTCCGTTTCCTCATCTATAAAAATTATATTTCCCTCTTAGGGTTGTTATGAGGAGTCAGTGAGCTGATACATGCAACACACTTAGAACAGTGTTAGCTTTTTTTGTTGTTATCATTGTATTAGAAGTTTTCATATTGAAATAAAGCCCGGGGACTTCCCTGCTGGTCCAGTGATTGCCAGTGGTTAGGACTCTGCACTTCCAACACAGGAGGCACAGGTTTGATCCTTGGTCGGGGAACTAAGATCCCACGTGCTATGTGGCGCAGCCGAAAGAACAAAGAAAGAAAGAATAAAACAAGGCCTGTCTCTCTCCCTATAGCTTTTCCCCAGGAGTCCTAGTTCTGTGTATTGAATATGCATCTTCCTCTTCTCCAGGAGAGCCCTCACACATTGAGTTTGGCTCTCAAGTCCCCCACCCCCCAAACTTTTGGCTCTATATAAAATTGGAGGGACAGGGTCCAGATCAGGGCCATTATGAGGTAGGAGAGTCAGAGCAGATTTCTGCAAGGAGAGGAGCCTGCCCCTGAGCTGTGGGAAAGTGGCTACTTCCCCAGTTCAAGGGAGTCCACTTGGAATAGTAAGTCCTGGCGCTGTCTGCGGGCCACACGTGTACTGGTGGCAAAGGGCCCACTCACTCACTAGACCCAATAATGACCAAATAAAGTGAAAGTCGCTCAGTTGTGTCCAACTCTTTGCGACCCCATGGACTATACAGTCCATGGAATTCTCCAGGCCAGAATTCTGGAGTGGGTAACCTTTCCCTTCTCCAGGGGATCTTCCCAACCCAGGGATCGAACCCAGGTATCCTGCATTGCAGACGGATTCTTTGCCAGCTGAGCCACAAGGGAAGCAGTAATGACCAAGTGTAGATCTTTTCTAGGCTAGAACTTACTGTCAAGTTGGTGACCGTGGATGAAAACCTCCCTCAGTGCTGTGGGTGGCCAGTCTATCCCGGGGAATGAACTCCAGTGTGTTAGGTGTTTGTAACTCTCTGTTCCCCAGTTTTTTTAGTTTGTGACACAGTTGTGAATTTGCTGTAAAAGTAGATTTCTTTGACCAGCCCCTCCCCACTGCTGCCAGACTAGAGTTTAGTGTTTCATTTTACAGATGAAGGAATGACTCCTTGAGGGAGGAAGTATCTTGATAAGGTTGCCCATCAGTTAGTGGTAAGGCTAGAATGAACACCATTGAGCTTTTGGACCATCAGTTGTACGAGCTCTTTGCCTGCTTCCCTCACCTGGCCAGCGTGCACACATAAACACACACCTGCTGCACAGACCACGGGGAGGGGTCGGAGCCGGGCCAAGTGCAGGGCTCTGCACCACCTGTCTGTCACCTTGGGGGAGTACTCTCACCCTTCGGAGGCTGTTTCCTCCTCTCTCGAGTGGAGTGCACCAACTCCTTCCTCCCAGGGTGTGATGGTAAGGTGGAATCACTTCCAGAGGCATAGTCATGGTGCGCCAGGCACGTGGGGGCCTATTGGTTTCCGTCTCTTCTCTATGCAGTCCGCACAATTGCCATCCTTGTCAAAGACTGGGCTCGGGCAAGTTTCTGGAAGCTAGACTAGAGAAAATGCCAGATTGTGGCACCAGATGACCCTGTGGGCAGGAGCCTCTCTATCCCTGGGCATCTCTGGGATGCGACGGCGGGGCGGGGACTCCCCCTGGCTCTCCTTTCTAAACCTGGGCCTCTTTCCTGTTCCTCTCTTGTGCAGATTGTAATGTAGCGGACCCAGCCATGGCGGCCCCACAGCTGGGTCCCGGCCAAGCCCCCCAACTGCCCCTCAGTGAGAGCAGCGCGCCAGGCCCTCCGCATGGGCCCCCCCCTGGCCTTCGGCCTGACGCCCCCGGGGGCGGAGGCGGCGGTGTCCCCGGAAAGCCCCCCTCCCAGTTTGTGTATGTCTTCACCACCCACCTGGCCAACACGTAAGTGGCCCCAGCCACCATTTGCCCAGCACCCCTCAGCCCGGGGTCCTGGCTGCCTGCAGGGGTTCAGGGCTGGCTGGGGGTGGGGTGGGTGAGGTGGAGGGCTCCGTCCCGCCCAGCGCTCTGAGCTGGCTGTGCCCGACCCTCCTGTGCAGGGCTGCGGAGGCTGTGCTACAGGGCCGAGCCGACTCCATCCTCGCCTACCACCAGCAGAACGTGCCGCGGGCCAAGCTGGACCAGGTGAGTGTGTCGCCTGGTCCGGGCACGGGGCTCCATGAGCAGTAGACGGGCCACGGCCTCCCCGACCCATCTCATGGGTCTGCCTTTGTCCTCTCACAGGCCCCCAAAGTGCCGCCCACCCCGGAACCGCTACCCCTGAGCACGCCGTCAGCGGGCACCCCTCAGTCCCAGCCTCCACCTCTGCCGCCACCGCCACCCCCAGCTCCGGGCAGCGCCCCCCCTGCTCTGCCTTCTGAGGGGCCTCCTGAGGACGCCAATCAGGACCTGACGCCCAACTCAGTGGGAGCTGCCAGCACGGGCGGCGGAACCGGGGGGACCCACCCCAACACCCCTACAGCTTCCACCGCCAGCAACCCGCTGCCTCCTGGAGGAGACCCCAGCAGCGCCCCCGGCCCCGCCCTGCTCGGGGAGGCCCCCGCCGGTAACGGGCAGCGGAGCCTGGTGGGCTCGGAGGGCCTGTCCAAGGAGCAGCTGGAGCACCGGGAGCGCTCCCTGCAGACGCTTCGAGACATTGAGCGGCTGCTGCTCCGCAGCGGGGAGACTGAGCCCTTCCTCAAGGGGCCGGCCGGAGGAGCGGGTGAGGGGGGGCCAGCAGCGCCAGCGCCCCCCGTGCCCCAGCAGCCGCCCGCGGCCCCGCCCGGCGGCCTGAAGAAGTACGAGGAGCCCTTGCAGTCCATGATCTCGCAGACGCAAAGCCTCGGGGGCCCCCCGCTGGAGCATGAAGGGCCGGGGCACCCCCCGGGCGGCGACGCGGGGCAGGCGAACGTGATGATGCAGAGGCTGGGCCAGGACGGCCTGACGCCTGAGCAGGTGGCCTGGCGCAAGCTGCAGGAAGAGTACTACGAGGAGAAGCGGAGGAAGGAGGAGCAGATTGGGCTGCACGGGGGCCGCGCGCTGCAGGACATGATGGGCGTGGCGGGCATGATGGTGAGGGGGCCGCCGCCCCCCTACCACAGCAAGCCGGGGGATCAGTGGCCCCCTGGGATGGGCGCCCAGCTGCGGGGGCCCATGGACGTTCAAGATCCCATGCAGGTCCGGGCTGGACCCCCCTTCCCCGGCCCCCGTTTCCCAGGCAACCAGATGCAGCGGGTGCCAGCGTTTGGGGGCATGCAGGGTATGCCCATGGAGGTGCCCATGAATGCCATGCAGAGGCCTGTGAGGCCAGGCATGGGCTGGACCGAAGACTTGCCCCCTATGGGGGGGCCCGGCAATTTTGCCCAGAATGCGGTGCCCTACCCAGGTGGGCAGGGTGAAGCAGAGCGATTTATGACCCCTCGGGTTCGTGAGGAGCTGCTGCGGCACCAGCTGCTGGAGAAGCGGTCGATGGGCATGCAGCGGCCCCTGGGCATGGCCGGCAGCGGCATGGGGCAGGGCATGGAGGTGGAGCGGATGATGCAGGCGCACCGGCAGATGGATCCGGCCATGTTCCCTGGGCAAATGGCCGGCGGCGAGGGCCTGGCGGGCACTCCCATGGGCATGGAGTTTGCCGGAGGTCGGGGCCTCCTGAGCCCCCCCATGGGGCAGTCTGGGCTAAGAGAGGTGGACCCGCCCATGGGGCCCGGCAACCTCAACATGAACATGAACGTGAACATGAACATGAACATGAACCTGAATGTGCAGATGACCCCGCAGCAGCAGATGCTGATGTCGCAGAAGATGCGGGGCCCTGGGGACATGATGGGGCCTCAGGGCCTCAGTCCCGAGGAGATGGCCCGGGTGCGGGCCCAGAACAGCGGTGGAATGATGGGAGGCCCGCAGAAGATGCTTATGCCCTCACAGTTTCCCAGCCAGGGCCAGCAAGGATTCTCCGGGGGACAGGGACCCTACCAAGCCATGCCGCAGGACATGGGCAACACTCAAGACATGTTCAGCTCCGACCAGAGCTCAATGCCCATGGGAAACGTGGGTACCACCCGGCTCAGCCACATGCCCCTTCCTCCTGCGTCCAATCCTCCGGGCTCTGTGCATTCAGCCCCAAACCGGGGGCTGGGCAGACGGCCTTCAGACCTCACCATCAGTATTAATCAGATGGGCTCGCCGGGCATGGGGCACCTGAAGTCGCCCACCCTCAGCCAGGTACACTCACCCATGGTCACCTCGCCCTCCGCCAACCTCAAGTCACCCCAGACTCCCTCACAGATGGTGCCCTTGCCTTCAGCCAACCCGCCAGGACCTCTCAAGTCGCCCCAGGTCCTCAGCTCCTCCCTCAGCGTCCGTTCGCCCACTGGCTCGCCCAGCAGGCTCAAGTCTCCCTCCATGGCGGTGCCTTCTCCAGGCTGGGTTGCCTCACCCAAGACAGCCATGCCCAGCCCCGGAGTCCCCCAGAACAAGCAGCCGCCTCTGAACATGAGCTCTTCCACCACCCTGGGCAACATGGAACAGGGTGAGTCAATGAAGCTGGACAGGTGGGCCTTGGACTCGCCTCCCAGGTGGGTGTGTTCTTGCCCAGCGTGTGTGCGTGTGTGTGTGTGTGTGTGTGTGTGTGTGTGTGTGAGTGAGTGAGTTAAGGGGTCTGTGCTGGGGCCCAGAAGCGGGATGGCTCTGCTGGAGGAGCAGCCGCTGCCCCCCATGTGTGAGCTTCCACAGGGAACACCGTGTTCATCTAGCAGGGATTTCAAGGGGGGGGTGTCATATTTAGGATCTCCTTTCTGCTCTGGGCCCTGAGGCTACAGGAACTGGCTAGAGATGGGTGGGCTCTAGTGATCATGGGGGAACCCAAATGGACAGGACACCTGTGCCTGGGAGTCAGGTGGAGGTCTGGGAGCTGACCTCTTCCTAAAGCCACAGTGTGAGCAGCCAAATTCATCCCGGCCTCCCCAGTCACCACCCCCCTGCTCTTTCTGTCTCCCCGCTTCTGTAGGTGCCCTCCCGCCCAGTGGCCCCCGGAGCAGCTCCTCAGCGCCTCCCGCCAACCCCCCCGGCGGCCTTGTGAACCCCAGCCTGCCGTTCACTTCCTCCCCAGACCCCACGCCATCCCAGAACCCCCTGTCTCTGATGATGTCCCAGATGTCCAAGTACGCCATGCCCAGCTCCACCCCGCTCTACCACAATGCCATCAAGACCATCGCCACCTCAGATGACGAGCTGCTGCCCGACCGGCCCCTGCTACCCCCGCCGGCACCGCCGCAGGGCTCTGGGCCAGGTGCGAGGACAGGGAGGGGGTCCCAGGGAGAAGAGCCCACACGGGCTCTGGGAGGGCGAAGAGTGACCATGGGCAGCGATCGCCCCTGTGGTCACGCTGGCTTTTTTGTGCTTCCAGAGGGCCCTGGGCATCAGGGGGTGTGATGTCCTGGGACACAGTTCCCACTGGTCGTTCAGTGAAACCAAGCCCGGTGCACTGGAGTGGTCTTTCCAACATCTACTGATGTGTCCCTGGGTAACTGGGCCAGAGCTTGGGTCTCTTGGCTTCTCACCTAAATGCCTCGAGTCCCTGCTCTTGCAGCTAGGGCAGGCCAGTGGTGAAAGCCGACATCCCTGGCACCAGCCTGGCTGGGGCATGGAGAAAGGACTGAGTCCTGTAATCTGCCCTAGCTGGGTGTACACAGTTCCTGACCCCCATTTCTCTTTCCCCGCAGGGATCAGCAATAACCAGCCCAACCAGATGCATCTGAACTCAGCTGCTGCCCAGAGCCCCATGGGCATGAACCTGCCAGGCCAGCAGCCCCTGTCCCATGAGCCCCCACCTGCCATGCTGCCCTCCCCCACCCCTCTGGGCTCCAACATTCCACTGCACCCCAACGCACAGGGGACAGGAGGGCCCCCTCAGAACTCGATGATGATGGCTCCAGGGGCCCCGGACGCCTTGAGTGCCCCCTGCGGGCCGGTGCCCAGCTCCTCCCAGATGATGCCCTTTCCCCCTCGGCTGCAGCAGCCCCACGGTGCCATGGCCCCCAGTGGGGGCGGGGGTGGGGGCCCTGGCCTGCAGCAGCACTACCCCTCAGGCATGGCCCTGCCCCCAGAGGACCTGCCCAGCCAGCCGCCAGGCCCCATGCCCCCCCAGCAGCACCTGATGGGCAAAAGCATGGCCGGCCGCATGGGCGACGCATACCCCCCGGGCGTGCTCCCCGGGGTGGCATCAGTGCTGAATGACCCCGAGCTGAGCGAGGTGATCCGGCCCACCCCGACGGGGATCCCCGAGTTCGACTTGTCCAGGATCATCCCCTCGGAGAAGCCAAGCAGCACCCTCCAGTACTTCCCCAAGAGCGAGAGCCACCCCCCCAAGGCCCAGCCCCCCAATCTGCATCTCATGAACCTGCAGAACATGATGGCGGAGCAGACCCCATCCCGGCCCCCCAACCTCCCGGGCCAGCAGGGCGTCCAGCGGGGGCTCAACATGTCCATGTGCCACCCCGGACAGATGTCCTTGCTGGGCAGGACAGGTGTGCCCCCGCAGCAGGGCATGGTGCCCCACGGCCTGCACCAGGGGGTTATGTCCCCGCCGCAGGGCCTCATGACCCAGCAGAATTTCATGCTGATGAAGCAGCGGGGCGTGGGGGGTGAGGTCTACAGCCAGCCCCCCCACATGCTCTCCCCGCAAGGCTCCCTCCTGGGCCCCCCGCCCCAGCAGAACCTCATGGTGTCCCACCCCCTGCGGCAGCGCAGTGTGTCTCTGGACAACCAGATGGGCTACCTCCCGGCCCCAGGCGGCATGGCCAACCTGCCCTTCTAGCGGGTTCGGCGAGGGGCTGGAGCTGGGGCCATGTTGCAAACATGATAACCTGAAAAAAAGTTTCTTCCCCTCCAGTGTTGGGATGGCCTGGGTCAAGGGGTGGGGAGGAGGAGGCTTGTGTAGGGAGCGGCATTTGTGGAAACCAGATGTGCTGGCAGCTTACGAGAAGTGGCAGAGTGGGGTGGGGGATCTGGGGGTGGGGTTGGTTCCATTTTGGCCGCCAGGACCGCCGCTCCCCTTCTCCTCCCAAGTCCTATGGAGCCTTTCCTGTTTCTCTGCACCCACCCTCTTCAGCTTTGCTGTCTGAGTCCTGTATCCTGTATCCCTGTAGCGAATCCTTGGCCAGATTGGAAGGAGAGAAGTCTCCCCGTCTTCTCTCTCCCCATCCCACTGCTCTCTCCTCTTGGAGCTTCACTTCCCTCCTCTTGGTTTCTCTGCCCCCCTCCACCCCATTTTTTTCCTTCTGTCTTCTCCTGCCTCGGTTCCTCTTCCTGCTGTGGCTGACCCCCTCTCCCACCCCAACCTGCAGGCGGCTGGCCAGGTGGGCAGGCGCCAGCTGTAGCTGTAAATAGAGCGCTGCGCTTTTGTGCCGGTTTGTGCGTGTGCTGTATTTCTGTGTTTTGATAGAAGTCACTCAGAAAAAAAAAAAAAGGATAAAGGAAACCCTCCCCGTGCCCACCCACTGCCCCTTCAAATGATTGCCCTTTCCATTTCCCCTGGACCCAGGGACACGCAGTCCGACACCCCTACCCTCTGCAGGGCAGTGTCTCTGGGTCCAGAAAGGGTACCATTCCCGAGCCCTCTTCCAGCGGTGAAATGACATAGCTACTACCCCCACACCTGAACTGAGGTCAGACCACCTTAGGCTTCCACCTGGTGGGCCCCAGCAGGGCTGAGACCTCCCAGGGCGGCAGCCTGTCTGCTGCTGAGTGATTCAGGAGAGCGTGTGCAGGTGCACGCGTGTTTGCCCCACACAGGTGACACGGGGGCCCTGGCTTCCCAGCTGTGGATGTCTGGTGTCCCCTGCTGCTACATCTTAAGCCAGAACTTGAAGTCCTTGGTCCCCAGTCTGGGCTGAAGGAAAGGACGAGGCAGAGGCTGAGCAGGCGGCCCCCCACCCCGGGCGTGGAGCCTTGGAGGAGTAGCCAGGGGGCCGCAAGCATCCTCTGCTGCAGTGGCTATGGGCCAGGTAGCCCCCAGGGCCCTGACTCTTTCCCCAGGCTGCCACCTACTTCCTATCACCAAAGGAGGAAGGAAAAGGGTTAGGCCCAGTCAGTCTTTCTCCCTCCACCTGCTGAGGACAGAATAGAGAAAGTGTTCGGCGCGGAGCAGGGCCGCGTCCTCCGCGCCTCTCTGCCTCCCGGCTCACTGGCACGGTCCCTCTGCCCAGAGCTCGGGGCTCCCTGCCCACCCAGGCACAGCCACTGCCTTCCAGTCAGCCCCCGGCCCTTTCCCAGAAGAGCTCCCCCCCTTCTGGTCAGAGCTGAAGCCATACACGGTTGGGTGTTTTGCCCCCGCCCCGCTTGGCCCCAGGAGTAAAACACTTCTCCTTTTCTCACTTCCTTCCCTGCCTTGTGAGGTGGCGGGGCAGTTCCCTGGCTGAGGCCTTCCGTGCCCGCCTCCAGGACCCAGGGCCGTTTCTCGGCGAGGTGTCTTCTGCCATGGCCCGTCCCTGGCCTTCCTGACCTGAGGGGGCCTGGTCTCCCTTTGGCAGCTGTGATACAAAGGGAATTTGTCCTCGCTTCTTCCAGTCTGGTGCTGTCCTCAGTCCCCCGTCGGCCAGGTCACGCGCTTCCTCCAGGGCTGGCTGTGGGCTCCTGCCTCCCCCAGCCCCTCTCCGGGGGGCCAGGGCCTGGGGCTCTGGGTTCAGGGGCCACCTGCCCTCCGCCTCTCCAGACGCGTTCCCGCCCTGTGTCCAACCTGGGCCCCGTAGCCCTGAGCCTCCCACCCCTGACCCAAGACTCCCCAAGCCGACTCTTTTAAGTGTTTCCTGCCCAGAGGAGAGACGGGTCAGACTGAAAAGGGCCTGACGCCCTCCCCCTGGCCCTCTCCTCCCACCTCTGCCACCAGGCTAGCTTCCCAAGGTGAACTCCACAGGCCAGCTTCCCTCCATCCGTGGCCACACCCCCAGCCATTTTGTACCATTATATAAATATATATATATAAATATAAATATATAAATACAATATGTGAAGACATCTTCTTCGTTTTTATTTTGAGACAATTTTTAGGCTTGTTCCGGGGCTCTCTGTGCTGCCTGTACTGTATTGACCTGTTTTATAGGTGCCTTTTTATTAAAAAGACAAAATTAAACATCTAGTTTCTTGCTTTCTTATTTCATGTCTGGCTCCTCCACTGCCCAGCTTACTACTGGAGGCTGGGAGGAACAGGGGACCCCAGGGTTCTCCAGTGTCCCACGGTGAAGACAAGAGTCCCCTGGGTTATAGATCTAATCTTCCCTGCAGAGAGGCTTCTTAGGGACCTCCACTGACGGGCTTGAGTGGGCCTGAGCAGCCAACGTGTGCCCTTGGCAAGTGCAGGAGTCCTTGATGTCCCATCTGATCAGGCCAGAGGCCGAGGAGGAGGCAGGAGAGCCCTCCCTGGGTAGAAGGCAGGGGGCAGGGGCAGGACAGGTGCGGAGCTGCTTCCTCCGGTTCCATTTGAGTAGTACCCTCTCAGGGCAGGGCTCAGCTTCCTGGAGCCTGGGGACTTCCCTGCCCAGGCCTGCTTGTCACACTGCCCAGCCCAAGGGGGTGCTCCTCAGGTCTCACTGAGGCCCAGAGAGATGGCCTGGCCTGCAGGCAGGGGGCTGGGTGAGATGACCCCCAGGGACCCTTTAGGTCTGTCTGTCTCCTCAGGAGGTCTCTCTCTCCACTGACTCTTGGCTAAGTGCCCCCTCTGCTGTGGTCAGATTCTCTCTGCGGCTCCAGGGGTTTCCCTGGCAACATAGTTTGTGGGGAGAGGGGTGGAGGGAACACATCTCTCTCCTTCCCCATCAGCTCCCAGACCCACCAGGGCCCTGGACCACACTGGGAGCTCTCTGCCCTGGGCAGAGAAGACAGCTGGCTTTGGTGAATACTTGGGCCTCCTTGGAGCTGGGGAATGAGAGTCTTTTCCTTTCCTTGGTTGGGCTCCTCTCAGCTGTCCTTACATCTTCTCTAGGACGCTGGCTGGTCTCCGAGGGTGCCTGGAGTCTGCCCTTAGTCTGTAGACCTCCCAGGGCCCAGTGACGTGGGGCTGGCACAGCGCCATGTTGAACAGAGCTAGGCAGCCACGTGGACCGGGTCAGCCTGAGCTTTCTGCCTGGTCAGAACACCGCAGGGCTGGTGACCTGAAAGAATGTCTGGGCTTCTTAGTCACCGAGACATGTCAAGGCCACACACGCTCTGTTGCCAACTGACCTCTTTGGCTCTAACCTCCATCCACCCCCTGGTGCTCAGCTTCTAGCTTCTTTTGGCAGGTGAGGTGAGGAGATAGGAGTGGTTGTGGAGGTATGTGGTCCATAAGATGACAGACTATATTCTGGAAGGGGAATGACTTTCCCTATTGGCAGGGGCAGAAGTAAAAGTTGCTCCTTGAGCTCTGGATGGATAGGATGAGCGAAGGCAAGTGTGGTCCTCTCAGCCCAAGGGCACAGGTATCCTTGGCTCTGCTGTCCCCTCCCTGGACCCCAGCTTAGATGTGGGGCTGGGAGAAGAGCCGGCAAGGATGTCCTGGAAAGAGGGGTTGTTTCCTCCAGCTGCCCCACATGAGGATACTGGCCAAGGCGAGCTCTTCGGATCCCAGCTCCTGTGATCCCAGCATCTCTGCCTGCCCCAAGGAAAGCAAAAACAAAGGGGAGGGGGCTGGGACCTAGAAGGTGGTGAGGGAGGTGGCGTTCTCTGACTCTGAGAGGCTGCTCTTGCGCCAGCTGGGGAAGAACTGGCAAAGGGAGGCAGGGCCGGTGCAGCCCAGCTTGGTCAGGAGCCGTGACAGGTCACTGCGGAACTTCACACCGGCGAAGGTGTAGAGCATGGGGTTGAGGCAGCAGTGGGCCAGGCCCAGAAACTCGCTCATGGTGATGGCCATGGAGAGATAGCTGTCCAGCTCACAGCTGCTGCCCAGCATCTTCAGCCTCGCTAGGGTGTCGAGGAAGATAACGATTTGGTAGGGTGACCAGCAGAGAAAGAAGACACTTGTCACCAGAATGGCCACTCTGACCGCCTTCTGCCGCTGAGGGCGCCGCTGGGCCTGGCACAGCCTGTGCACCACCCCGACGTAGCACCAGGCCATCACCAGCATCGGCAGCAGGAATCCTCCGATGTGGTAGAGAAAGCGAGAGGTGAACCAGGCGTTGGTTTCTGCTTGGTTCTCCTGGGAGAAGGTGCAGTGCGGCAGGGAGTCATTGTAATGGGGTTCACTGACCTTGGCGAAGAGGATCTCCGGCAAGGCGAAGAAGAAGCCCGCCAGCCAGATGGTCGCACAGGTGATATGGATGGAGAGGAGGCGGCGGTGGCGGTAGGCGTGGACGGCGTGGACGATGGCCAGGTAGCGGTCCACGGCAATGCAGGCCAGGAGCAGGCTGCTGCAGTAGAAGTTGATCTTGTGCAGAGAAATCACGGTTTTGCAGAGGAAGGTGCCCAGGACCCAGCCCACGGAGCTCTCGGCCACAGCGAAGGGCAGGATGAAGACCAGGAGGAGGTCAGCCACCGCCAGGTGGAACAAGAAGGTCTCCGTAGAGCTGCGCGTCTGCCGGTGACGCTCCAGGATCACCAGGACCAGAATGTTGCCCATCATACCGAGGAGGAAGATGAGGCCATAGGCCACGGGCATGAACACAGCCTTGAAGGAGGTCAGCAGGGGCCCCTCGACGGTGAGGCAGACGTGGTTTTCCTTTATGGGGGTCTCCGTGCTGTCATTGTAGCTCCCTAATTCCTTGTACTTCAAGGACAGGAGACAGGAGAGCAGAAACTGAGAACCAGTCTTTCCTCTCCGAGAGGGATTCTGACTCTCTGGTAGAG